GGACCGCCGCCCTCCTTCGCTCTCCCCAGCAGCCGCCCAGGTCGGGGCAGGAGGAGGGGGCCGGCTGACGTCATGGAACAGTTGTAGGATATAGCTCGGGAACCCGCCGGGAGCCGGCCTCGCGGCCCCAGTTCCATTTAGGCCGACAGTGCTCCAGCCTGGGCTCCACTCCCCCCAGACTCAGCGCGGCAGGCTTGCACCTTTCCTGAGACTGGAGCGAGCTGGGCTTTTGAAGGAAATCAGGGTGTGATGCTTAGGCCAAGAACCCCGGAGAAAGGACATGCAGGGATGGGCTGGCAAGGCTCTCATCAGCACGAGTGGAGCCAAAAGGCCATTAAAATGCTTCCAGCAAAGTCTGGTGTAGTGAGAGAGTGATTTCAGAAAAAAATATTCCTCATGGCACGGGGTCAGAGACACAAAGAACGGTGCAGACGGCCATGGGTGGGACTGCCTTGCAGAGACCAGTCAGCCTCTTGAGGTAGATGTTATTCCCCATCCCTCATTTCACAGATTGCAAATTAAAGCCCAGAGAGGTTAAGGACAATGGCACAGCAGAGATTTCAAACATATTCTCTCCCTCCAAGCCTAGGCACATTCTCTCTGAGACATTGCCTCTCACTTTGTCAGCAGGTGCGTTCAAAGGGTGGGGGACACCAAAATGAAACAGACCTCAGGGCCCTCCCACCTCCTCTATTCTTCCTGACCTCTCTAGAGTCTACGTAAGACCCAGAGAGATGATAGGAGGTGGGAACAAACCATCAGAAGGCAGACTGAAGACTGCTCTTGGAGGAAAGGTTACCATGTTACCAAGTTGATAGCTAACACTTGGAGCTGGCTGTGGACAGCGATGAGGAGACACAGCATACTGAAAACTGCCAGAGGGAGTAAAGGTGACTTTGTGGTATACTATTTGCTGGGTGGTATACTTTTTATTTTTTTTACAAACCTGGCACAGAGACAAGATATAATAATACTAATATCGATGTGGCAGGCGCTGCTCAAAGCACTATACAAGATAGAGCAATGGTGGGAGATTTCAATTATTCAAACAGCTGTAAGTTTAATTTTGCTATAAGTCTAGCATCAGCAAAATTCCTGATGTGCCTTACTGACTCATCCCAGCATAAGATGTGGCTTCTGACTGCCTAGGTTTGCAGCCTAGCTGTGCCATCCTGTAGCATGGCAAGTGGTGGAGCCTTGAGCAAGGTACCTGAGCCTCTGTGAGGTCCTGTCATTTGGGGGTAGCAGGTGCCTCCCTCATCGTGATCATGTGAGGGTCCCAAGAGATAACATAGGTGAATACCGACACAGTGCCCAAGGAAGCTCTCACCAAGCAGGAGTTGCTAACATGATTATTATTACCTCTCAGAAGGGTGGGGGCTATTTTGACCAACAATAAGTAAATTGAGGTGACATGGAAGTGACAACAACCACGAGGAGGAGGTGATGTGTAAGTACTCCAATAGGAGGGGACGTGACTCTTCAGAAAGTGAAAAGGATAAGGGAAAGTGTGACCCAGTGGGACTCTAGCCTAACTCCCTAATTAGGAATATGTGAGTGAAGGAGAAGAGGGTGGAAGACATTCCAAAATAAGTGTCTAACACATTAATCTCAGAAAGTAAAAGGGGAAGGAGTTTGGTTTTTAAGTCACTGTGACAGCAGTGGGGGTTGCTAGTTGAGGCTGTGCTTTAAGGGGACTATCCACATATATGTAAAGGCAGGGTATGGGCACACAACCAATTATGAAGACACAAAAGCAACTCAGAACTTAGCCATGTCAGCCTGGCTTCAGACAAACTGAAGGCCAATAGAATGTTAGACAATGTTTGAGGCAAAACAAAAAACCAAAGAACCAGAAAACAATGAAAAGCATAGGTCAATACAATTTCACCATTCTGAGTGAGTTTTGACCTTTTCCTGAGAAAGTGGCCCTAAACTAAAAAATGGAAAAGCAGATGGTAAAGGTGGCTTCCCGAGCCCAGGGTAGATCAGCAGAGAGGTAACTGGCCTTGGAAAACACAAACACATTTGAATCCAAGTTTCTGGACAAACCTGTACTTATCATTTTGTGGCCGCTTGGACAAATTTAGAAAACAGTTCTAGCCAATGAAAGGCAAACAGACAAATGTTACACCTTTTTCAAAAAAGGTAAGTAGAGTATGCTCTGGAGACCACAGACTAGTATACTTTGTTCTGATTTCTGGAAAGATTCTCAAACAGGTTACTAACCAAGTACTGGCCCTCTCTATACAGATTCTGTTGATTTAATATGAGTTTTCATATTCCTTCTATTCCTTTTCTGATTAGAGGTGGTAGAGTGGTCATTTAGGAAATGCTATTTGATCTCAGCACAAGGTCTTATATTTTAGTGGAAAGAACGCAGGATTAAGGTTTAAGACCTGGATGTACATCTAGCTCCACTATTAATAAGTTAGTTGGATGACCACAGAGAAGGTCTTAATCTTATGGGGACTCACTTATGAAAGAGAGGGCATATCTCTCAGGCTTCTCTCACCTCTACGTTCTGTGAGTCTGCCTTGTAACAAAGTGGGCGGGGCGAGCGCACAGCCCAGAAGATGAGGTCCTGATAAAACAGCTGTTAATGCACAATGTCAGGTGTGTGAAACTGACCGGGGGAAGGACTTGGACACTGATTTTGCCCTTTATACATGTGTATTAATAACTTAATCCCCAAAACATTGGAGACCTATGACAAAGGGTCACAGAATAAAGATTTGAAATAAGGCTGGTGGACTAGAAGGAGGCTTGGGCTGAAAGCCAAATGAAATTAATTAATGTAAATGTAAATCCTTGTGCCTAAGTTATTTTTTTATATTTTTTTATTGTTGGGGATTCATTGAGGGTACAAGAAACCAGGTTATACTGATTATAATTGTTAGGTAAAGTCCCTCTTACAATCATGTCTTGCCCCCCAAATGTGCCTAAGTTATTTTTAAAAAGAACCTACACAAGTTCAGGATAGGGAAGAGCTGGCTGAGATCTTAGGATGAAGGTCTAGGTGACTGAGATGACCACTCATTCAAGCTGAAGTGAAGCTTTTGTCTGGCCGCTAACAAAAGGGCTAGTGCAACCTTGATCAGATGTAATGATAAGGATAATGTGATGGGTAACAAGTGTTGAGCTCTCACATGACCCTGCACATTACCTCACGTCTGGGGCATGAGAGTGTTATAAAATTCCAGCCCACCAAGTGCTGGTGTTGTTTCGCCTGCCCATCAGACCCTGCTGTTGAAGTTGTTTTCAAGGCAGGGGACCTTACCAAGCAGGAGGGCAACAAATTGGAGAGTGTGCAAAACAGGGCAGCCAGGATGGGGAAATGTCTTAAACCAAGTCCCACAGGACAGGGTGAAGAAAGTTGAAGTGCTAAATCCAGAGGCGGTACAACCAGTGGTGTGAACGGAAGGAGAGATAAAGACCTCTGCTCAGACTCCGAGCAACAGGGAAAAAAAGATGAGCTCTGCCTGCCATCAAATCTGTGTACTTCCACTCACAGGTTGTACACCTCAGGGCAAGTTGCTTAACTTCCTCTGTGCCTCAGTTCTCTCAAATGTTAAACAGGGGTACTCATGGGGACTAACTTAGGGGATCATTATGAAGATAATGAATGAGATGTGTATAAAATCTTATATAGCAGATGGCAATGCTTAATGCAAATGCATAGTCACGATGAGGATGATTATTGTGGATCTGGTAGGCTGGCCCCACGAGGAGAAAGGAGAGTCATTCTGTCTGGCTTCTAGAGAGAATAGGACCAATGAGTGGAAGCAAGAAGAGAGAATCTGGATCAACATAAAGAGATCTTTCAAATCAGCAGAACTTCCCAGGGAAAAAGTGAATTCCCAGTTCCAGAGAAGCTCACTTTTTCCATCTTGTAGTGGGGAAAACAAATCATAGGGATAAAATAACAGACATTAAGAACTCCAAAGTACTTCAAGAAAACCAGGAACTAAGTCAGTATGAATGGCAGGCAACAAGCCCTACCCTTCTATTTCTTCTCTATTGAGAAATCTCTGGAAGTTTAGGTTTATAGGTAACCTCAAGGCAGTGGATTTTTATTGTATGCCTTTCTCAGAATAAGCAAGATAAAGATCATGGACATCACAGTTGAATCCCCCAAGTTTAAATCCCTACTCTGGTATTTATCAGCCAGGCAATCTTGGATAACTTAGATCACCTCTTTGGGTCTAGTTTTTCCTCTGTAAATCAGGTAAACTACCTTTAATCCTGAGAAACAAGAATCAAAACTGATGTATTTCTTGCTCTGTTGATAAGGATTCTACCAAAGCGAGCTGACTTTATGGCTATATGAGACATACACTTTAAGCCTTCTGGCCTTTTGGATCTGGTGATAGATGCAGGTAGTGGAGGATGGATAAAGAAATTCTGCCACCTAGGCAAGCACATACACCAAAATTGCACTTACAGTACTGGTACAAGAGACAGGTTAATTCTGAAAACCTTCCAAATACTAAAGTCCTGTACTTTGCACAGGAGGGATAAAATGAGAGGTGGTAAAATGAAAAATTTCTGTATTGTTGACAATATGCTATGTGTTAGGTTCTGAATTCAGTGTCCCATTAAATCTTCACAGTGGTTGGGAAGGGACAGAATTGATGATAATGAGGTTGGGCTGAAGAATAGTTTTGCTGTTGATTCGATAACCATTCCTAAAGCACTTCTAGACCTTAAGATAATCCCTGAAGTCTTGCGCTTTCCTCCTCAGAAGTGACCAGGACTGTACCTCCCTATCTTACCACAGTGGTCAAAGCATTAAGCCTAAACAGCTTGGCCCAAGATTCAGCTTATCATGGTCTAGCAGGGTGATGGCATCATAGGATGAAGATCTGGGTGACTGAGATGACCACTCAAGTCATCAGGTGGTGGCTTGCAATAAGGACATGACAGGTCCTTACAAACAGCACCTTGGGTTACAGTACAGTGAGGACACTAACAGATGGCCTTTTCTCTCTGTCTCTCAGTGTGATGGGGTTGGGGTGGACCTAAGCAACATCTTCCTGGAAGGCATTGCCATTCTCAACATTCCCAGCATGTACGGAGGCACCAATCTCTGGGGAGAAACCAAGAAGAACAGGGCTGTAATCCGGGAAAGCAGAAAGAGCATCACTGACCCCAAGGAACTAAAATTCTGCGTCCAAGGTAAGCCAACCATGAGGTCATTTGCTCTAAACAGTGCCTGTTATAGGGGCCTTCGGGTGGGCCTGTCAGCAAACTGTATCAGGACTCACAGTGGGCTCCATAGGGCCTGCAGCTATCAAGGACCCTGTGCTCTGAGGAGATGCTGATTCATCATCTTTGATATTACAAAGTCTATAGCCTAATTGAGAAGACAAAATACAGAATTGTGGAGTTCAAAGTGATGGTCAGTTATTACACTGTGGAGTTCCATGAAGTTAGGCGTCAAACGCTACTCCTGTCAAGTTAGCCAGTGTTCCCCAGTGTAGATAAATCCAATAATCAATTGTCAACCCTCATCTCACTTCAACTGTCAGTGGCCTTGGACCTAATTTGTCACTCCCTGCTCCTAGAAACACTTGGTCTGGTTTTCCTCCTGGCTCGTGGTCACTCCTTCTCAGACACCTCTTGATGCTGGAGGGTCCTTTGGCCGTTCTGTCTTCTCTGTCCTCATTCCTTTGATGACTTCAGCCAGCCGTAGGACTTTATTTAAATACCACATGTGCTCATGACGCCTCAAGACCTGTTTCCATCTTTCCCTGAGGTCCAGGCCTGTGTGTCCAATACCCTGTACCTCACATGTTTAGCTGACACCTCAAACTCAGCTACCCAACTCTGAGCTCCCTCCCCAAACTTCTCCACCTCAGTTGACAATGCCAACCTGGTTGTAGTGAGCTCCCTACATGACTCTGATGGGCTCCCAGGTTTGAGAGCCCCTGATAGAGAAAAATGCCCACAATCTCTTCCAGGCCTAGCGTTCCATCCATCTGTGTTCTTTGATGACCCAGGATATTAGTGCTAAGTTTTGATATGATCCCACCAATAGAAAGAGACAAAATTTGGCTGACTGTCCAGGCAAAGGTTCCTTGTTTATTTCATATCCATCTATGAGAGAAGCAGACTTATGTTTCAGGGCTGGGTCATCAACAAACATCATCTGCACAACTCCATCCTTTAAGAGAGGACTCAGGAATTTTTATTTCTCTATTGTCTTCTTAAGTTCCCTTTATTTCACACAGCAAACTTTCCAGGGCATCAATTATTAAACTGAATAATGTGTTCCTCCTTCCTCTCTTGGCAGGAGAAGCTGTGGGTGCTAGCAGAGGATGGGGAGAGTATGGGAGGTTGTCTGTATAAAGTTCCTGAAAATTTTTCCACCCTGGTGCTTCCTACCTCAAGCCCCACTCAAGCATCCAGCCCTGTCAGAACAAAGGAGGGAATCAGCAGGGGAGGGAAGCCCTGCGCCCTGCCCTGGGGCTTGGGGAAGCTCTCAATGAGATCACATTCTGCATAGGACTCAGGGCAACCTTCACCTTTCCCTTAAATGTCTGACCTTCTATCTTCCCCTTTAAAGAGCAAGAGCATAGTGTCTGCTGATCCCTCTTCACCATCATGTACAGGAACTTTCTTCTCCAAATCCCCCTCTCCACCCCCCACAATGTGCTTTCAGAGCTAAAAAACAAACCACTTCCTGTTCTTTAGAGGAGGACATGAGCTGGTGAGAGTGGAGGCCAAGGAGGGGGCCCTGGCTTCTGGCTTTGCAGAGACAGCAACACTGAGCTTTCTTCCTGAAAAGGCAATGATCTTATGGAAGTTGAGTTGTTAAAGGGAAAAGCTGAAGAGACAAGTGATTTTTAGTGAAAAGGCATTAGATTTGCCTGGGAATCAAGAATTGTGGGCTCTGGTTTTACCCTGCCTCTCACTAGTGTATGGCCTTGGGCAAGTCCTTTCACCTTCTTAGGTCTCAGTTTTCATCTATAAAGTAAGTAAAGTTGACATTCCATACAGCTCCACAAAATTAAGGTATAGTCAGATTTTGGTACATAGACTCCTTGGATAGAACTGTATGCAGGTTTATTCCTTCATTCAGTGTGTTTTGTGCCAGGATTTATAGGTTGGTGGCTGAGGAAAAAGGGAGACCTTCCTGAAGATTCCTTAGTTGTTGGGATTCTTTACTCCTTGGCAGTTTCATTGGGTTTGGAGGACAGGGAAAAATCAGGAAAAAGTAGCAAAGAGGAAGAAGGGGTTTATCATAAGAAGTACAAGAGGAAATGGCAGTAGAAAGAGTGACTGTCAAATCTCCCTCTTCATAGATTAGTTTCTGCTGGAAAAAACAATCCAAGGAAGAAAGCTGATCAAGATTAGCATGGAATGAGTTTCATAGAACATTAGCCGATGAGAAAGAAATAAAAGCAATAAAGAGTCTCAGGAAAAGAATCAGGCTTACAGTTAGATTACCTGGATTTAAATTTTGGCTTTATGCTTCCTAGTTTTATAAACTTTGAGAAGTTATCCAAGCGTCTTGAGTCTCATCTTCTTCATCTGTAAAATGGGCATAATATAATACCTAGTTTTTTGTGAAGATGATGGATATGGGAGTACCTGGAGCATAGTATAAGCTCAAATTTATTTTTGAATTTCCCCTCCATTTAAATTCTGTTTTATGCTGGAGCATGCCAATTGATTTCTAATTTTGAAGCTTTTGTCTTTAGCATAACCACCTGCACTAACACTAGGAAAGAACAGAGAGAGCTCTTGCCAAAATCCAGCCCGGCCTTTGTGGTACACATTAAACTTATGCCATCAATAGTACCTACTGTCCTCTTTCCTAGACCTTTTAGATACCAAGGACAGAGGCTGGATGTTAATCATCTTTGTATCCCCAGTGCCTAGTCCCAAGTAGTTGCTCAAGAAAAAAGGTTATTGACTAAATGTAAGCACATGGAGTAGGGTTTTTTAGTTTTTGTAATAATAATAAGAATAGTGAGGAAATAGTCTCCTGTCTGTATATTTCATTTTGGCTCGCAAATAATTTTGCATGTATTAACTTAATGTTAATGTTAACCAGAAACTCATGAGCAAGGTTACAGCCAGCCCCCTCCGTAACACTATTTTCATAGCCGGGGAAAATCAGAGGCCAGAAAAGAGGTAGGGCTTACACAATTTATGTCCAGTTGTGGCAAAAGAACAAAGACTCAAGTCCATGATTCCTCACCTAGCCCAAAGTGGCTAGCATCCAACTAGAAAATTTGTTAAAGAGCCTACTGCATCATGTGTACTGCACAAGCCAGGCACTCAGAAAAAGAAGCACTAAGATCTAGTCCAAGAACAGACTCCATATCTACTGGTTGAAATTCTGCTCCTCCTACAACATCTACCTAATGGCAGTCTCCTTTGTGGCCCCTCGGAAGTGAGCCCAGCCTCTGAATTCCTTTTTTAAAATTTTTAATTATTATGGGTTCTTATTAGTATCTACTTATAGGGTACGTGCAATGTTTTGATACAGGCTGTTTTGAATTAATCAAATCAGGGTAATCAGGGTATTCATCACCTCAAGCATTTAACATTGTTTAGTGTTAGGAACACTCCAATTCCACTCCTTTAGTTAAAGTATACCCAAATTTGTTGATTATAATCAGTTTCTTGTTCTATCGAATGTCATTCATTATCTTTTGTACCCATTAACCATTCCCCACTTTATCCCCACCTCCCACAAGCCTTCCCAGCCTCTGGTAACTGTCATTCTACTCTCTGACTCCATGAGATCCATTGTTTTTAATATTTAGGTCCCACAAAGGAGTGAGAACAAGTGAGATTTGTCTTTCTGTGCGTGGCTTATTTCACTTAACATGATATTCTCCAGTTCCATCCATGTTGGTGTGTATGGTAGGATTTCATTCTTTTTGTGACTATATGATATTCTATTGTGTACACGTACCACAATTTCTTTATCCATTCATTCACTGATAGACACTTAGGTGGATTCCATAACCTGGCTATCATGAATAGTGCTGCAATAAACATGGGCGTGCAGATACCTTTTCGATATACTGAATTCCCCTCTTTGAGATATATACTCAGCAGTGAAATTCCTGGGTCATATGGTAGTTCTATTTTTAATTTTTTAAGCAACCTCCATGCTGTTCTCCATAGTGGTTGCACTAATTTACATTCCAACCAACAGTGTAAGAGGGTTCCCCTTTCCCCACATCCCTGCCAGCATTTGTAGTTAACTGTCTTTTTTTTAAAAGCCATTTTTACTGGGATGAGATGATATCTGATTATAGTTTTGATTTGCATTTCTCTGATGACTAATAATGCTGCCCATTTTTTTCACATGCCCATTGGCCTTTGTATGTCTTCCTTTGAGAAATGTCTATTCAGATCTTTTGCCCATTTTTTAGTCAGATTATTTGATGTTTTTCCTTTTGAGTTGTTGTAGCCCCGTAGAGGGGTAGTTTACAAATATATTCTCCTATCCCATAGGTTGTCTCTTCACTTTTTAATTGTTTCCTTTTGTGTGCAGAAGCTTTTTAGCTTGATGTGATCTGATTTGTCCAATTTCACTTTGGTTGCCTGTTCTTTGGGGGTATTACTCAAAGAAGTCCTTGCCCAGCCAAAGTCCTGAAGTATTTTCCCAATGTCCCAATGTTTTCTTTTAGTAGTGTCCTAGTTTCAGAAGATTTACATCTTTAACCACGACCCCCTTTCTTTTGGAGAGTGATTCTTACTCCGTTGCCGACGTGGTGTCATCAGCTTCCAGGGCTCCTGGGCTCCAATGATCCTTTTGCCTCAGTTTCCTGAGTAGCTGGAACTACAGGTTCATGCCATCATGTCTGATGATTTTTTTCTATTTTTAGTAGAGACAGGATCTCCCTTTTTCTCAAGTTGGCCTCAAATTCCTGACCTCAAGTGATCTTCCCACCTCAGCCTCCCAGAGTACTAGAATTACAGGTGTGCATAGCCCTTTAATCCATTTTGATTTGATGTTTGCATGTGGCAAGAGATATAGGTCTAGTTTTATTCTTCTGCATGTGGATATTCAGCACCATTTATTAAAGAAACTGTCCTTTCCCTACTGTATGTTCTTGGCAATTTTGTCAAAGATAAGTTCAATACTGATGTGTGTTTGGATTCTCTACTCTGTTCCATTGGTCTGAGTGTCTATTCTATTTTTATGACAG